TAACTGTAACTGATTTGACTTCTATTGAATTGACATGTTGTACAGAATAGAAATTTCGGGTTGTCACATGGATGGTTTAGGGTTTCTTGTCGGAGGTTTGTTTGGCATAAAATGGTAACGAGGTATTTAATTTGGGTTGATTAAAACTAGGGATGAGCATTAGGACCGCCAGAACCGGAATCGAACCGGAATTGGTAACAAGGTCCGGTTACCGGTTCTCTATTTTTATGAAAACCAGTCCCGATTCTAAAAACCAGAACCGGTTTGACAATTTTCCCGTTTTTTAAAATGTGCATAACTCACTCATATGAAGTCGAAATTATTTCATTTTTTTCTAACATGTAATTTGAAGTTTGTAATTCATTTTTGACTATATAAACATATGTTTTGGTTAGATATTGAATCAGACACATGCCCCGAAAGAAAGAATATCGATGCTACGTTTTCTCTATTTCAACTTTTTTTTTTGTTTTTTTTGAGTCTGTCCCATTTTTTTAAATGTACATAACTCATTCATATGACGTCAGAATACCTTAATTTTTTTTCCAGCATGTAATTCGGTGTTTGTACTTCATTTTAGACTATAAAACATATATTTTGGTTAGATATTGAATCAATTATAGACCTCGGAAGACAGCATATCAATGCTGCGTATTTTATGTTTCTGTATTTTTTTTTGGAATTTGTCCCACTTTTAAAATGCGCATAACTCACTCATATGAAGTCGGAATTACTTGATTCTTTTTTCATCATGTAATTTAGTGTTTGTACTTCAATTTAGAATGTAAAGAGTCATAATTTGGTTAAATATTGAATCATTTACAAGCTCCGGAAGATAACATATCATTTATAATATTTCAACCGGTTTTAGTTTGAAAAATAACCGAAAAACCGGGACCGGAACCGGAACCAGTGGTTTAGTTCCCGGTTCTTATAATATAGGAAAACCGGTTCCGGTTCTGAACTGGTCCGGTTCTAAAGCTCATCCCTAATTAAAATCCCACATGGTGTTATCGAGTATTAATATGTCCACCACCACCGATGATTACTTGGGCTGTAAGGGTGGTTGTTGAAAGTAAATGCCTCTAATTAATCCATGAAAATGTGGCATCGACCGGACTCAGTAACGAGTCTGTGACTATAAGCTTAGTTGACATATGACGATGCGAGATTACCTCTTAAAATAGGTAAATGTACCTTTTAAAACGGTAAAACACAATTTCATGCCCTTAAAATACAAAAAATAGTCACGAGACCTTTTAAACCAATATACTAATTAGGTTAGTTCCTAAGCATAATGGTTATTTTATGATATTATTTATATTTATAATATTTATATTTTATCCGACAAAATAAATTTGATTTTCAGTCCAATGGAACGAGCATTCCATTCGTTTTGATTTTGTAGAATTTCAAAAGAAATACAAAAAATAAATATAGAACGATGGATTTGAAAGCAAAAGGGGAGAAAAACTCTGTAATTGAACGCACATACCCGCCTAAATAATCGGTGAGAAATTGGGAAGACTCAACGAAACACTTCCAAGTACGAAGATCGAACACCATGGTAGACTCTTCCTTCAACCTCCTCAGTTTCTACAATTCCTTTCTATTTGTTTCTTATTTTGATTGCTTTGGTTTTGTTTTCCAGTTTTCAATTGCAGCTATTAACGATACAGATTCCAAAAACCAGTGGGAACCCCTCGCCCCTACCAAAGAAGCTCAGGCAAACCCTAATTCCCTTTCTACACATAGATATTCATACATACACAATTTGTTACTTTTTTACAGTTACTTTTTGTTCATAATGCGTAATGTGTTTCCCATACACAAACGCAAACACACAAGAAAACAACTAAGTTCTGCATTCCCAAAATGGGCCACTGTCGAAATAAATTTGCGCTCAAAGTAAGATCTTTATACATGCGAGGGTACATGAGGATTGAAAAACAGTTGCAATTCAAAAAGAAAGGCAGACAACTATGGATTATAAGAGAATTGCAGCTATCTCTTTGGAATTGAAGGAATATGTTCTTAGTGTGTACGAATTATGATGACATACTTACATTTACCCAAAAACCCTTTCGAACTTACCATGAGGATCATTAATGGAAATCAATTCCAGCCATATTTTGTTTCCCTGATTGCATATATGGTGAAGTGAACACCTTTGGATAGAGTAGTCATATTATCTTGTATTTTCTTATGCTGAATTATATGAATTTCTAGCATACATACATGTGGTTCTCCATCTGTGGAATTCTGGTATAGTAATAAGATATAACAGTGGAGTTAAGTTGCTGAATGGTTCTATTTGTTTCCATTTTACAAACAACAGTGTGTTATGTATACAAAATATGCTCACATCAAATTGAAGCAACAAAGAGATGTTCTATTATTGATTTATGTACATTCCATGCTACCAGGAATTCCGACTTTCACAAACCTATCAAGAAGGGCTTTTGAAGTTACAGGCAAAGGAGTATGAAAAGGCTCGTGAGCTTTTAGAAAACGTATTAAAAGACCCTCTTCTTCCAAATGGCCAGGTTAGAATTACTTCCAAGAATCTCACAAGTCTACTAGCATGAAAATACTCCTTACTTTCTACACTTGGTTTCTTAAACTGCTTCAAAATCTCTCTTTTATGTCAGGTTGATAATTGTGGTAGTGATGGACATCTACTGCAACTGAGGTTAATTCTCACTTCTCATTTTTGTCATTCAGTTGTAGATTTTAGGTTTTGGAATGGGATTGTGGTATTTATGCTTCACGTTTTGATTCAATGCTTAGTTTTGATTTATTGTTATAGCCACTAAATGCAAGTAAATAGCAATGTACTTCGATTTATTTGTGTATTATAGCATCCTACTTACATTTCTTTCTATTACAAGTTACAACATTGTACTTTCAATTGTTTTCCTTCTTGAGATATTGTGCTTTGAAAAGTCTACCCACTTATAGCCTTGTACTTTCACATTCTTTCTTATTAGGACGTTATACCTTTGAAAAATCTATTCAATTATTACAGTGAAAATTCCTTTGTGCTTAGATGAAAATGCCATAATTGGGTGGATTTTTCAGTTACAATGCTGTAATAGGAGAAATGAAAGTTGGATGCTATAATAATAACCAAATCATGAAAGTACTTTGTCATTTTTTACACTTAACCCATTGTTGTAGTAATTTTATGTGGTTTGTTTTAGTTCAAATTGCCATGCATGGGTAAAAAATATGTTTTCATCTAGGGTAAAAAGTTGCTATTTTTGAACCATTGACATCTAGGGTTTAGGTTTTAGGGTTTGTTATAGAACCACCTTTGATCAAAACTGTTAACTGTCAGTAAACATCTATCTTACAAGTGTGTATATGTTTTCAGATTTTTAACACTGAAAAATCTTGCCACTGTATTTCTTCAACAAGGTTCTAACCATTATGAAAGTGCTCTACATTGCTATCTTCAAGCTGTAGATATTGATTCCAAAGATTCTGTTGTGTGGAATCAGCTTGGAACATTATCATGCTCAATGGGATTATTGAGCATCTCTCGATGGGCATTTGAGCAAGGCCTTTTATGCAGCCCTAACAACTGTAACTCTTCAAACTTAAATACTTCTTATTATGCATTGTATATCTCTCAATTCATGCTCTAAGCTTTTTAATCAATGCATTTAGGGAATTGCATGGAGAAACTTTTGGAAGTTCTTATTGCTATTGGTGATGAAGTAGCTTGTCTTTCAGTTGCTGATTTAATTCTAAGGCATTGGCCTTCACATTCTCGTGCTTTAAAAGTCAAACATGTGATTGAAGAGTCTGAACCTACTCCCTTTTCTCCAAGAGGTATAGACAAATTGGAACCACATCATGTCAGATTGAAATTTCTTGACAAAAGAAAAGCAACAAATCATGATCTAAATGATAATGGGACAACCAAAAAGTCAAATCAGAATACAATCTTGCACCTTTCGGAAGCTTCTTGGAGTGCTCTAGCTGGAGAGCTTTTAAAGATGTTGATTCCTTTGAATGATTCTAATAAATCTGCAGACTTTAGATTAATCATACGTATGCCTTGTAGTTCAGATAACCCAATAAAGGAAAAAGAAGGAGTTAATGGCTCCTCAATTCCTGCTAACACAGAGAGTAATATGAATGAAGAGCAACACCAAGAAAGGCGAAGCAGTCGTCTTGAAAGACTTAGGAGTCGAAAACCTGATAAGGAAGAATCAGATTTCACACCCACTAAAGATTTAGTCAAACTTGTTCCCCAATTTCTGGAGCCATTTATCATGGGTGAATCCAGAATTACAAATCTCAGAATGGATTCAGAGGATACAACCGATACCCAGAATAATGAGTCCATTGATGTTGCTCAGTTTGTTCAGAAAACATCAAAAAACTATGGTGTATATCATGTAGCAGGCATGCTCTTAGAAGAGGTTGGATGTAGAAGGATTTCTTATCAGGATACATGTGAGAAGTTTCTAGAGTTAGAAGAATTGACACGGAATTTAGGAGAGAGTAGAACCCCGGAATGCAGTCTTTTTCTTGCTGAGCTGGCGTATGACTTTGGGATACGATCATCAGACGAGTCGATTCGCTCTGATTTCATGTTGAAAGCATCTTATCATCTTTGTAAACTCATTGAATCGGTAGCTCTGAATGATGTAGATGTGTCTGCAATTGGTTCTTTGTTGGATAATAAACGGGATTTTTGGGTTCGTTTTTTTTGGGTAAGTGGAAAATTGTCAATTTTTAATGGTGACAAGGAAAAAGCCCGAAAAGAATTTGGTGTTTCTTTGGCCTTGTTAACAAACACAGATAAGGAAAGGAACAGTCTTGTTTCCATTAGTCTTCCACACCTGAAAGTAATGAACAAGCTGACTGTTGATCTTGTTTTGCATGAAATTAACCTTTTAGAGGTTGATTTTTTGATGAAAAATAGTGTAAATGAAATGATGGAAAAAGGGTTGCATTTAGAGTGCGTTAACTTGCTAGCTCCTCTTCTATCTTGCATGAAAGATGATCATGTTTCTGGTTCATCTTTTGAAAAAGATGGTGAAGGGGCTGATTCGGCTGAATTATCTGCTCTAAATGTTCTAATTAAAGCATGTGAAAGCTTAAAACCAGTGGATGCAAATGTTTATTTGAGATGCCACAGACAGAGACTAAAACTTCTCATGGCTGCTACTGGTGTGGAAGAGGGTTTTGGTTCCCAGAAATCATCCAATGAAAGTGAATTAAGCAAAAACTCAACCACAGACTTGCATCCCCTTTTAGCTGAAGAAGTAAAGGCAATTTCCCAATGTACACAGGAGATGAAGAACTCCATCATTCCTTGTGGAAGTATTGTAAGTTCAGTGTGTTGACTAAATATTTTTTAAATATATATGTTCTTTCCGAAAATAATGATTCCGGCTGAATCTGATGGAATTGGAATTTGAGATTCCATTCCGTGTTGGAATCCTTCAAGGCTTCAACTTCCATATTTGATTGAAAATAGGATGCTATAATACATGAAAATATGTTGCTATTTTGTACATTACTATTTTTTCTATTGTTGATTCCTTACATTCACGCCCTTCAAGGATTCATAAACTTCATAGTTATGTAGCTTCTGCTTTTTCTCACAGAATGGCTCTGTTATTCCTTTGAGAATCATTGGTGATATTCAATCTTTGCTGCTAGCTGTTATGTGTCATATAGCAAACATATGCTTCTCCAAGAAATCCATAGAAGTGGACAATCCAGATGATGATCAAAAAAGGCAAAAATGTTGTTTTGTAGATGCTGCTATTGCATTTTTCAGACTTCAACATCTGAACCCAAATATTTCCATCAAAACTCAAGTATGCTCTCGATCTCTTGTCTGTGAAAAAGACGTAAATGCCCTCATCATTGCTTGACATCTCTTGGTCATGCTTTTTCAGATTGAATTGATAATTGCAATCCACGAGATGCTTGCTGAGCATGGCATCTGTTGTGCCAGTGGTGATGGAGAAGAAGATGGGGCCTTTCTTAAACTTGCCATAAAGCATCTTTTGCATTTAGACATGAAACTCAAGTCTATAAACAAGGGTCCTGAGTCAACTCAGTGTGGTGATGAGCAAGTTTTACAAGAAGGGTATGCTAAAATATCTGGGAATGATTCAAATGTGGAAGTGGCTCCAAGTGATCAATTACTAGAATCTGGAAAACAACTAACTGAAGAGGAAAAAGAGGATCTTGAGATTGAAATAGATACTGCTCTTGATCAATGTTTTTTTTGTTTATATGGTTTGCATCTTAGATCTGATTCATCATATGAAGATGATCTTGCTATGCACAAAAATACAAGTCGTGGAGATTATCAAACAAAAGAACAATGTGCTGATGTTTTCCAGTATATTCTGCCATATGCTAAGGCTTCATCTGTGAGTGATCATATTACCTTCCTTTTCTTTATATTGTCTGTTTGATTTCCGAAAAAAAAGGCTAAATGCAATAAATAGCAACGATTTTCGTTTGTTTGTGTAATATAGCATCATACTTTCCTTTTTATAAAACCTTTTCATACAATTCATTGCACTATTTTACTATGGTTATGCATGGTTTCATGACTCTTTTCATATATAGACATTGTACTCTGAAAAATCTAAATTATAGCATTGTACATCCTTTTTTCTTATTAGGATATGATACTTTAAAAAATCTACTTAATTATAGCAGTGGAAATTGCATTGTATGTAGCTGACATTGCTATAATATAATTGATAAATCTTTGAAAGTATAAGCTGTATTAGAAAGAAATGAAAGCCAGATGCTATAATAAACATATTAAGTAAAGTTTGTTTGTATTTCTTGCATTTAATTTTTTCCATAGAACCTTTCAGTAGAATTCATTACACAGCTTTACAAGAGGAAGAGATATTTTATAGTTAACAAGGTTTTAAAAGTTAATGGTTTATTTCATTAATATATATCTTCAGAGAACTGGATTGGTTAAACTGCGAAGAGTATTAAGAGCCATACGTAAACATTTTCCACAACCACCTGAAAGTGCATTGAATGGAAATGCAATAGACAAATTTTTAGATGACCCAAATTTATGTGAAGACAAATTGTCTGAAGAGGCTGGATCTGATGGTTTTCGGGATACCATAATGAATATTATATATCAAGATTCTTCAATTCTTAAGCAACACCCAACAAATCTAGAGAGGTATCTGTTTTAATATATAGTAATATTCATAGCTTCTTATAATATCGTTTAATGCTTGAAATAGCAATGTACCTTTGTTGATTTCTTTATTATAGCATCCTACTTTTCTAGAGCTTTCTACTTTTAGAAATCTACCCAAGTATATATAGCAATATCATCCAAATACAAAGCAAGTTTTGTTGTGATCATTGGATAGAATATTTAAAGTATAATAAGAAAAGAAGTTAATAAGTAGAAAAGCTATAGTTAGGTAGATCTTTCAAAGACAAATCCTTAAGAAAAGCAAAATTAAAATGAAGTAAGAACTGAATGTAGGATTCTATATAGTTTGTTATATCAATTATAGCAATGATGTTTGCATTTAGGGCTTCAATATAAATAGTGTATGGTGTTTTTTGTTTTGTAGGTCTGAGCCATATATGGATGTATATGGGAACTTGTATTATCTTCTTGCACAATCAGAGGAAATGAGTGCAACTGATAAATGGGCTGGATTTGTGCTGACTAAGGAAGGTGAAGAGTTTGTACAACAAACTGCAAAGCTCTTTAAATATGATTTACTCTTTAATCCAATGCGCTTTGACAGCTGGCAACGCCTTGCTACTATTTATGATGAGGTAATAAGCTAACAAGTAACATCTTTCCTTGGTTCATGTTTAGGGTTTACATAAAAATCTCAAATTACTATGCTATTTTTGGAAATGTAAAACAAAGAAATCGAATGCTATAATAATACACAAATAAATGAAAGTATTCTATGTGAATAGTTTGTTGTTTTCCTTTTCTAAACCCTAAATCCATATGTGGTTTGGTTTCTTCTGCATAAAACTGAAAACAAACCAAAAAGTTCGTTTTTTAGTCCCAAATTAAACTCTCTCTCTCTCTCTGGATTTTAAATTCAACCAGATTGATTTTCTATTTGTTTTTTTGCCCTTTCAGTTGCATAAAGCAAAAAAATAGCAATCAAATAGATGGACTCATGAAAAGATCTGAATATATTTGTTGAATTTCACATTTATTTAATAGCAAAAAAACATTCTAAAAGTTGATATCTAACAGCACAACTAAGTGGAGTATTGCAATGGAGACTAGAAAGACCTTAAATAATTAATTAAGTTCACTTCGGTTTTTAGTTTTCTTTCAAAACAAAACAAAACCTAAAATTTTGTATTTTAATACAAAAAAACTAAACTCTCTGTTTTCTTTTCAAATGGGTTGGTTTTTGGTTTTTTCTGGTATATATATAATTTATAATGTAAAGGGACATTTTAAAAAAAAATTATTTTGCAGGAAGTGGACTTGTTGCTGAATGATGGAAGCAAGCAGATAAATGTTACAGGGTGGAGGAAGAATGCAACTTTTGCTCAAAGAGTTGATACAAGTCGAAGGAGGAGTAGGCGTTGTTTGTTGATGACTCTGGCTTTAGCCCAAACACCCATCCAGCAGGTTTGCCTCTTTTCTTTTATTATTATTATTATTATTATTATTATTATTATTATTATCATGAATTAAATGCCTATTTATGCAACACAATGCTTCTCCTTTTTCCAAATTTTTGTAACAAACTGGTTTTTTAGACTCAATATGCAACCATGGTTCATACTATGATCAAATTATGCAACATTGTAATCAGGATCAGGTCACCTAATGATGTGACACCAGTTAAATGGTTATGTATACAACAGTTTTTCACTTTTTGTACCTATTTATGCAACAATATATCATTCCTTTACTAATTTATACAACACTCTTCATATTTTGACCAATTTACACAAATTATTGAACCATGTTTTAACCGGTTACTTAGAAAAAGTTTGCATCATTTGGTTATAAAAGATTGAAATGTGGTCACATATTTTCATAAAAAACCACTTTGGTGCGTAAATTGCAAAATGTGATAAAGATAAAGTGACACATGATGGATTATTATAAATGATTGCAGGGAGAGATTCATGATTTATTAGCATTGGTGTATTATGATGGCCTTCAGAATGTGGTCCCAATATATGATCAAAGATTAAATTTACCACTAAAAGATGCTGAATGGAAAATGTTCTGTGAGAATTCCATGAAGCATTTTGAGAAGGCCTTTGCACAAAAGTATATTTCTATTTCCAGTTGTTTCATCTCTAGTTTTATTATATGAATAAATATGACTCATTTGAATACTTTTAAATAACAGGGAAGACTGGTCTTACGTATATTACTTGGGAAAACTTAGTGAAAAGCTTAAATACTCACGTGAAAAATCATTTGCATACTATGACAAAGCTATTGCTTTGAATCCATCAGCTGTAGATCCCTTTTACAGAATGCATGCTTCACGCTTGAAGTTACTCTGGTCATGTAGCCACAATGACAAGGATGCCTTAAAGGTTATCTTCACTTCATCATATTTTTTCTGTTTTATTGCATGAAATAACAACACACACACACTTCTTTTCTCGTTTTATATATTCAGATGACACTAAGAAATGAAAGTAAAATGCTACAATAAACAAGTTAATGAAAGTATTTCTTGATTCTTTGACAGATTGCTGCAATGTATTGTTTTAATCAATCGACAAAGGAAACTGTTATGAACATTCTTGATAAATCCAATCCCCAAAATACCCCTGATGATACGTGGCACATGCTTTACAACGATTGTCTTTCTGGCCTACAACTTTGTGTGGAAGGGGACCTGAAACATTTTCACAAAGCTCGATATATGCTTGCTCAAGGGCTATACAGAAAGGGTGAGAGTGGGGATTTAGAAAAGGCAAAAGATGAACTTTCATTTTGCTTCAAGTCTTCCCGATCTTGTTTTACAATCAACATGTGGGAAATTGATAGTACAGTCAAAAAAGGAAGGTAAAAAAAATAAAGTAACTAAAAGACTTTTAACTTTTTATTTATTTGTGTGTTTTATCATTTCTTACTATTACAACATCCTACTTTGAAATCTTTTCTTATTAGGACAATTATTGGAGTCTTATTTTAACGTTTTTTTGGTTTTCAGGCGTAAGACACCTGGCAGGATCCTTGAAGTTAATTTAGCAGAAAGTTCTCGTAAATTCATAACTTGCATTAGGAAGTATATTTTGTTCTACATGAAGCTTTTGGAAGAAACTGGGGATATATCAACCCTTGAACGAGCTTATATTTCTATTCGTGCAGATAAAAGGGTAAGTTTTTTTCTTTTTTAGTATTATGCAAGAAATAACAACATACTTTCATTTATTAAAAGCTACTTAGATATAGCATTGTACTTTGAATTTATTCATATTAGAACATTATACTTTGAAAAATCTACCTAATTATATATATAGCAATGAAAGTTGCTTTGTATTTGGATGACATTGCTATATGTTTTTCAAAATAAAATGCTGTAATAAACAAATCAATGGAATTACATTGTTATTTGTTGCATTAAATCCTTTTCAAAGTACAATGTTGTTGTTTTTTTGAATATTCTGATATCATAGCATCTTTTTTTTTTTTTTTTTCATCTTAATGATGGCTACGTATTTCTATCTATAAAAACCTTATACTTAAAATTAATCTGTACCTTGTTGTATACAAATGCAGTTCTCATTGTGCCTTGAAGATCTTGTTCCTATAGCTCTTGGGAGATACATTAAGGCACTGGTATCCTCCATCAATCAAATTGAAAGTGGCACAAATATTGATAACATTGCTTTAGAGCATCTTCTAGAGAAAATGTTGTGTTTGTACATAGAACAGATGAATTTGTGGTCCGATATTTGCAATTTGCCTGAGATCAAGTGCCCAGATTTATCCGAAAGCAGCTTATTTGGGTAAGCAATCCTTAATATAACTCAGCTAAGTGTAAAAAATACACTTTTGGCCCCTCTGTTTTAATTTATGACTTCTGTTTCTGGATATGGTTCAAAAAAAGAATCTTCTTGCCCTATTTTACTGTTTCTTAACATTTTTTTGTCCAAGTAAACAGCCCTTTCGCTAAATTTGTGAAAATGACCATTTTGACCTCATTTCTATAAAAACTGTAATTTACTCTTTATTATAAAAAATCTGAACAACATCGTTTTTACTTGTTGCAGATATCTCTTCAAGTATATCCAAATACTAGAGAAAAACTGCAAATTAGAAGCACTCGAGGGCATAAACGAAAAGATAAGAAAACGCCTAAAAAACCCAAAATTATCAAACACAAATTGTGCTAAAGTTCATAAACATGTCTCCATGTCTTGGTGTAGATGTCTAATCATTAACATGGCTTCAATCACACCACTAAATTCCCGATTTTTAACCGAACCCCAAATCCCACCTCTCTCAGATACCACCACAAACAACCAACTCCTTTGCATCGACATTCTTACAGACCAATTATGGCAATCAACTTTCGAGGATACAAATACAAATACAAATACAATTACAATTACAATTACAAATCATTTGAAAGCTATGCAAAGTAAATGGGATTCTTTGTTGTTGAAAGTCAAAGATGTTGTAATCAAGAAACCCTTGGAAGAAAATTTGGAAGCTGCTACTGTGCTACTTAGATCTGCTTATAACTTTTATCGGGATGCCACGTGTGCGGTGTTGCCATCTTGCTTAAATCTTTATGCTGTGCCATGTCAGCTGTTGACCGAAGGTCATATTGAGTCAAATCTGCATTCGGTTGACATTCTTGAAATGAATACTCAAAAGAAGCTTCTTTTGTGGGCTTACGCTTTGTTGCATGGACGTTGCATCACCAATGTGTCCATGGTTATTAAGTATTGTGAAGAGACTGTAAAGGTTTGACTTTTTAGTAAACATGTTGACTTTTTTTTTTTCTAAGCATGGATACATGAGTTTTATTTTAGGTTCGTTTAACATATGCAAATATGTATTTACTTGAAATGGGTAAATGACATACAAAATGTTTTTTTTTTGGAAATAAAGTGATGCATGATATCAATAATAATAAGGATTTTTCACTGCAGTTGAAGATGAAAAAGGGTGGTGGAAGTACATCTACTACTCCCACCATGCATTCTGTTATGGCTTATCAGACAGGTTTATTCATTCACTAAGCAAAGTTATTTTTTGTGTACTACTACTACTACTACTACTACTAATAATAATAATAATAATAATTATCACAAAATACAATAACATTCACTGGAGATTAATTACCCCAAGTCAAATCTTGCAATAATTTGGTCCCGTTTGTTACGCATGATATGAGACAAGTTTTGTACTGTGTTTGGTGTGTATTAGACTGACTGACTGACAAAATCTTGTGTGTCAGGTGTAGTAGGCAAGGACGTTGTCGGCATTTCTGGTGCAAAAGAGACCACCACACTAAACGTGGACCCCACTTCTCTCACTGAAACTAAAAATCCCGAAAATGCCCCTAATTGCGATGAGGGGTCTACATCGTTGCAAGAAATCGAAATCACGCCACCTGTTACCCAAAACCACACTTTTTCATCAGCTGTCCCACTTATGGTTCCTTGCAACAATTCTGATGAGCCACAAGGACCAGATTCTGCCAAAACTTGATGTTTTTGCATTTTTTTTTTCTTTGTATAAAGTGTTGTGAGGGAAGATAATTTTGTTAAAAGTGATGTATATTAGTTGTGCCATATATATATATTTTTTAAACTCAAATGATCATTAGTAATGTTTTCTTTTGGAGATAGAATGAGTTCCAAAATGGAATTAGTCATTTTTGGGAATGAAAACTTTTCCTTGAGAGTCGTATTCAAGTGTTGCAAATTCTATAAGTTTAGACACATGTATTTGATTATTTTTCAAAAAAAAAAAAATCCAAATTTTTGAGAAGCAAAATTAGGCGTTATAAATTACAAGAAGATTTGTAAACACGCGACCTTTGGTTGTGGAAGGATTTGTAATTTATTTGTCATTTGTCGTTATTATTTATAGTTGTCGGTAGATTAATTATTGTAAAGTGTCGGAAGGATGTAATGTGTAGAATGTGACATAAAGTAAGTGTCAGTAGGATTTAACATAAAGTGCAAGACCCTTAATGGTCTAAGGGTCTAAATTGTAAAATAGGTTTGTCGTGTTGCAATCATATGATTGCAACAATAATTGTAACCGACTCATTAGAGCCTATAAATAGGACATTTGTCCATATGAAATAAGCAAGATGTTTTGAGTGTTTAAGACTTGAGTTAATTCTCAAAGTTCTTTCTCTGTTGAAATAGTTTGTCTATTTCTGAATAGCAGAGCCCTCTATCCAAATCCATCTATATAATCATCCAATATAATCCAAACAATCCATCATCAATTAAGAATATCATCAAAAGATCATCCCCGACGCACCCTCCGTTCGATTTGGTATCAGAGCAGGTATCGTTCTTACTATGAATTCTCATCGTTATTTGTCATGCATAATCATCACAAGATATCATTCATCGTTTCCAAATTAATTGTCACTTTAATGAATTTTTTCAAATCTACTGGAAGTACATTGCTACAAATGGAAAAGTATTGATAACTATAAATTACGTACACATATACAAACACCTGCACAACTTATTTAAAATGTAGATACGGTTTTTACAATAGCTATATCAACGGATAAGCGGAAGTTAGTTGATATTTATTGCATTTAACCATGATTTTAGAAATATAAAATACAATATTCATGGTAAAAGTTTCTTCTCAACTTGTGCTAGGTTGACAAAAAAACATAAACTATAATTAGGTTGCATAAGAACCATCAGATTATAATTACAAAAGAATCGATACCTTTCATTGATAAAGGAGGGGATTAAATACCCACCGTACAGAGTGATTACAGGAGGAAATTGGGGAAAAGATAGGCTAAATAAGGAAGAAGTAATCTACATTAATTACACAGTAAATATAAGATCTGGAATATAGAGAAGGTATATATTTTGGTTAATACTCCCCCGCAGTCGAATGGTTGGCTGGCCGAATAGAGAGACTAGAACGGAAGCGGGTGAATAGCTGACGGGGTAATCCCTTGGTAAATATATCTGCGTATTGGTAATCAGCAAGGACATGAAGAACGCGAAGGGAACCCATGCGAACTTTTTCGCGAACGAAATGGATGTCGATCTCAATATGCTTCGTGC